CATCCCACTGCAATAGCAGCATAGGTAGCTCCATTAACTCGCTGAACATTGTTAGCAGCGAGTGGAGTAATGTTTACATGAAGAATTTGAAGCAGGGGTGATATTTGTACCTACGGGTACGAATGTAGAATTTGTTCCTCGCTGGCCGTTGTTAACAGCAGAGGAATTTGTACCTGTTCGGGAGCGTTTCCTACCTGTCGCTTAGAAGGAGATTGTAGGATTGCATTGCGAGTCTTACATTCGTAAAAATTGGAATTGTGGTTTTCACCACAATTTGAACAATTAAATTTCTTAGGATCTTCCTTCACAAGACAGTCGTCCTTTGCGTGAGAGGAATCAGCACAATTCATGCATTTAGCTGACATGTAGCAATTTTTGGCCCCGTGACCCCATCCCTGGTACACGGAAACAAATCCGATTCCATTTTCATGAATAAAAAATCATGAAATGAAAAAACTTGCCATCCCATGAAATCGTAACAATGATTCATGATTTCGTCTTGGAAATTCATGATTTCATAATGCAGTGGAATCAAGACCGCTACAAGCGTTACGTACTTGGCAAACCGTGTTCGTAAACCTCACTACATAAAGGGTGTCCACGATGAAATTGCCACACACAAAATTGATTCGCAAAATTCGAGTTTTCATCCGATTGCCATCAAATTTTCAGGGATTGAGAAATAACTATTAAACTTCATTTTACCATTTTACTCGTATTTTATTTACAGTCCATACGCAAATGCCCGCACCTTGGCCTTAACCCCGGCCATAAGATTCTGCACAACCTGTGAATCAACCGTTTTTTGCATGTAAACCCATACTTTCTTCAGTTCCTCGACTGTCTTCACTACCTTAGGTCGTTTAAGAAGGTGCTGCTTCATAATCGCCCAGTACTTCTCGATGGGGCGGAGCTCCGGAGTGTTGGGAGGGTTGAACATTTTCGGCACGAAATTGACCTTATTGTCCGCATACCACTTCAGCACGTCCTTGGAGTAGTGGCATGAGGCCAAATCCGGCCAGAAGATTGTTGGGACGTTGTGGGCCTTCAGGAGAGGAAGCAGCCGCTTCTGGAGGCACTCTTTTATGTACACCTGTCCGTTCATCGTGTCCTGGGTCACGAAAGGTGCACTCCGCTTCCTGCACGTGCAGATGGCTTGCCAAACCAGGAATTTCTTCGCAAATTTGGACATCTTCTGAGTGCGGACATGCTCCGGAACGCTGAACTTATCCTTGGCCGTGAAAAACAGGTTGCCGGGGATCTGTTTGAAGTCGGCCTTCACATATGTTTCGTCGTCCATGATTCAGCATTCAACTTTCGTCAGCATGTTGAGGAACAACTTCCTGGCACGGGTTTTGGCGGACTTGTTCTGCTTCTCGTCGCGATTAGGGGCCTTTTGTACCTTGAACGTTCGAAGCCCAGCCTTAGTTTTGGCCTTCTGGACAAAACTTCGGCTTAGGTGCAGCTTCTTAGCCACATCCCTAACGGAGGCGTTCGTATTTCGGTTGAAGGCCCCAACTACGCGGTTGTGATTTTTGGTGTTGTACGGAATACTTTTTCCTTCACTTCTGATCTTCCAATCGGTGGTCAACCGTTCCTCGAACCGCTTAATCACTCGCGACACCGTGGAATTCGCGATTCCCAACGTTTTAGCGATGGAACGATGCGAGAGATCCTTGTTCTCGTGATGAATGCGCAAGATTTTATCACGCACGAGCTGTTCTTTCGACTCCATTTCCGCGAGTTTTGATCACAGGACTTTAAAACTTGCAGGATGTAAATAATGCACTATGAACTAAATCCACCCAAATTTTCATTAAATTCTACCCAACGGTTAAAAAGTTAGAGCAATTTCATAGTGTGGCAATTTCATCGTGGACACCCTTTATCTGGTGTGGTCTATCCTGTTCTTTGAGACTCCGAAGAGGTCTCCGTAGAACATCTTTCATCAACAAAATCAGAGTTAGCCGATTCCTGACACTAGACTGATCTTGGAAAATGTGTTTCAATCTTTAGATCTAATGTTTCAGAAGGAGATTTGGTGAAACCTTCATCAAGACATTTGAGATTACCATTACCCCGTAACCTTGCCACTTCCAGAACACTGTTTATGCTTTCACACATTCTAATCCAAGACCGCCTCTTAGATTTCCTTATTTCGTTATTATATTCAGATAGAGATTTATCGTACTGGATTTAATAACTTGATAACTTCAAACAAATATAACTCCAAAACGAGAAAAAAAACACATCGCTGATTTTTCATATCTTGTGAAAAACAGGCTACATTTTTAAGGAAAAATATAAAAACATTTTGCACACCCTGTCTACAAACCATGGAAACCATAAAAACAAATGTTATCAATGCGTTTCAATACAAAACTTCAATTTTTCAATTTCAGTATATTAACCTTAAAAAGTATTACCTTTCATTTGATATTTTGATCTTTAAAATCGACCCAGTGGTTTAAAAGTTATAATTTTTTTAAAACAGTCATTTTTGAAAAAAAGAACAATAATAAAAAAATTTTTTTTTTTTTTACTATTTTAACATGGAAATGGGCTCCCTAATGACAAAATAAAAAAAAAACGGGTCTAATATTTTGCAATAAGGAACAAAACTACCATGGAATGGCTGTATACCCATCGCCCAGTAGTCCGTCAGAATTCCATTTCGCGGCCAGTTTCGTCTTTGTAAATCGTTGCTACGAGAACATTTGGCGCTGTAGCCAGGATGTCATCCAACTACACCATGGACCAACTGAAGCTACGACGATCTGCAGTAGACGGAAAACTGAAACACTGTTCATTTCGAGTAAGCAAGTTCGAACCCGACTCGATGTTCATCGACGACCTCAACGCAGAACTCGAGATCCTGCACCTACTGTGGCAGGACTTTCTTGCGTTTTAGAATGCAATTCTGGAAGGATATTGAATCCATCGAACCCCGATGACGAAGCAGCCCTGGAAAAGCGATATCTCAGTTTGAAGACCTCGATCACCCTTAAGGCCATATAAATTGATAATAAGTTTTGATTCCCGGTTATCAAAATTTGATAACTGAACCTGTTATCAATGTGGTTGAATAAACAGCTAACCTAAGAAATTATAACAAATGAATACTCTTTGGATATCACAAATCTAACTGATTTTGTTATCGTTGCAAACAAATCCAGTGATCCATGCAAATTTAGTCAACCAATTTCAAAACGTTTTATCGACTAAAGCCTTACGCTAATTACTAAAGTATTGCATAATTTCTTTTATAATATCAACTGATAGCAAAATTATTCGAAGTAGATAACTAAACTTATTTGGTATTAACTAATTGATGTCAACTTTGAAGCCAATCGGTTACCCATGCTGACTTCGGTTCTGATCATCTTCCAGTAGCTATTGAAATATCCCAAGAAATAATGTCTAATCCCAACAGCTCTACTTTCAATTACCATAGAACTGATTGGGAGCAATATCGAACATTTATGGAATATAGCTTCGATCCAAACATTCCTTTGCGAACCAAAAATGATGTTAATTATGGTCTTGAATCTCTGACTACTTCTATAGTTGAAGCAAAAGCTGCATCAGTAGCAAAATACGAGGTTAAATTCGATTCAATTATAATAGACGACGATCTTCAGCTCTTGATCCGTCTGAAAAATGTCCGTAGGAGACAATATCAAAGAACACACGTTCCTGCCATGAATGTTATCAGGCGGGATGTGCAAGAATAAATTAACACTCCGAATACGATGCCTCCGAAAAACGTGTAACGGTAAGTTTGCAATGGCATAACTTAGCCATTTCGTGATGAATTTCAAAAAATGTGGTACTGCTAGAATTTCTAGGGTATGTAGATTATTTTGATTGTAAAAAGATAGGGTCGTCTACTTTTTTCAAAAGCGAAAAGAGTAGTTCCACGTTTTGCAAGTGGCCTAAGATCCATAAATAAGATTAATGGGCACAAATGTTCATAATTAACCAGAATACAGTCATGGTTTCTATAAATGGATCCTGGAGACAACGGAGCGGTCCTCCGGAAGATCCGAAACATCCGTAAAAGTTTCCAATCTATGAAACTGATCCTAGAACTCCACGGTTAAGAATTTGGGGTCGTGACATAAACATGGACCCGGATGGCTATGGAACCGTCCTTCGGAAGATTCGGAGCATCGATAAAATTGGCTCATGCAAACTAATTCTAGAACTCAGCAGTTTTTTTTTAAATCTCTTGGAACTATGATATAAGAAAAAATTAGATCGTGACGTAAACATTGACCTGGATGGGCATGAAACCGCCCTCTGGTAGGTCTGGAACATCCTTAAAAGTGGTGAATCCATGAAAATGGTCCTAGCACTCCGCAATTTATTTCAAAAAATATTAGGAACTGTGTTATAAGAACACACCTTTAAAAAAACGTGTAACGACTCTTTTCGCTTTTGAAAAAGTAGACGACCCTATTTTCAATCTTTCTACAATTAAAATAATCTACAGAGCCTTAGGAATTCTAGAGGTACCACATTTTTTTTTTCTTTATTTAGGAGATTTTCAGCCGTAGGCTGGTTCATCTCCAAAAACATTTTTTTTTTAATTAATCAATAAATGGCTAAGTTATGTCATTGCATACTTGCTGTTACACGTTTTCGGAGGCTTCGCAGTCGGCGTAAAGTATTTTTCCCCTCCGTATTCGGAGTGTTAACAAGCGATTCTCTGCCGTTAGGAACAAAACTTTTGAAAATAATGTTTCGTATTAATTGTAATAATGTAGCATTAATTCTTACATATTCTGTTTACTTTTTGATGTGAATCAGTAATAGAATCTTACCTTTTCCGGTTGCTTCTAGAACAATTATTAAATAACCCTTAACAAATGCTGGTCCATTGTTGGTCAGCCTTTGTAAAACCACACGTAATGATAACTAAATCCTCTCACCAACAATTTTCCGCTCATTTCAGGCTCCTGAACGCTCCGACGGTGACTAGAATCTGACTACGGTATTATCTCGAGCAACTGTTTGGCGATCGCTGGCGGAAAGCGAGACCAAACGCCCGAGGACCAGGTGGAGTTGACGGTGGCGAGGACCTCCGTGGCCACTCCTGTCAACAGTTGCAACAACAACAACAACAACAACAGCAAGAACAACAACAACAACAACTACAACAACAACAGCAAGAACAGAAACAGCCGCAGCTGTCTCGACAGCCGCAGCTACAGCAGCAGGACAGTGCCAGTAGCCGGGAAGGCCGGCGAAGTAGTGTGGTGCACCGGATGCAAAGCATCACCGGTAGCAGTGTACTCAGCGGAAGTGGTGGCAGCAGTGGAGGAGTTCTGGATAGTGGAGGTCATGACGATGTGGAGGGAGAACTCTGTGGCAGTACCACAGCCACGGCCGGGAGTTCTACCAGTAGCTATGACGGTGTCAGTGGGGTTGGTGCTAGTGGTGGCAGCAGGCTGCAGCAGGGTGGTTCGAGAAAGCGAAAGTCCCGCATCACGTACGATCGGGAGCAAGGTGTCCGGTACTACCGAGGTACCGCAACGACCGACATCAACGATTGTGATTGCGAAGACATCTGAAGACGAGCCGTGTCTGTGCGGCGTGGCACAGAGTGACGACTACGTTTGACGAGTGCATGTGAGAGGGAATAAAACACAAACGAATCAACTGTGAAAATATCGAAGCTGTGAACGTTAAGTTTTGTGCAAAGATTTATGTTTTCTAACGTACGCACCCCCATCACCAACATCATCACCCTCATCAGCATCAACCTCGATGTCTCTGTGTTCCAGTACAACATCGTCGGAGGTCTCTTCATCCTAAATGTTAGGCGAGGGGAAGAGATAGTAATTAAGTAATCTATAACGATTCAACCAAGAACGAAAAGGCGCCGTTTCCACGCTTAGAGAGTAAGTCCATCAAAAACCATAGTGATTGTAAAGATAGAACTTTTACCATTAGCATAATTTAACAACTACCGGATAGGGTAAGTCTTCACCGGGGATGGGATTAGGACGTAACGAAAGAGCGGAGACACAGCAACTGTTCCGGTTACCTTAAACCAGTAGAGTAAGTACAGATTTTCGTATTTAAACTAATTCGAAATTCGAGTTTTTTTTTTTGTTATATACATAATACCAATTAGGAGGTAAGAGTTTAGGATCGGTTCCAAAATCCGGCGATCGACGAATAGCATTTTACGGGGGTTACAAAAGCACATGTGTACGCGATGACGAGTTTGGTTATGCTGCTGCTTGCTTCGTTCGAAGTTTCTCCGCTTTCAAAGGTTATAAAATAAAGTGAAGGATTCTTTGCTGTAGATTTTAAAAGTATTACCAAAAACTTCCGAATGGTTACAGAAAGCGGGTTACTGGAATTGGTTACTGCACGGTTCTTAGCAAATATCCTCAGCTCTACAGATCAGCTCTGTATGAAGTTGGGCACCACCGATAGGAATCAACAAATTCCACTGTATGACAAAAATTTCTCCATTATTTTAAACTTTAATAAGCTGTTATATAAATTATATTATAGAAGAAACCCATAGGCCGTAAAAATCCGAGAGCAATTTTAAATAATTCCTTCTGATTCATTTTAACGATTTTTAAGGAATTCGCTCAGCAAATTCAATGGAAATCTGATAGCAATGGTTCAGAAAAATCTTAGGTTCAATCCAATAAAATTCAATGTGAATATAACAAGAAACAGAGTTGCAACTATTGACACTTACGGTCCCTATATGGAAGTTTCGCTATGTTTTCGACTTTCTGAGAATCTCATGGATTTGTATTCAGGAACATCCACAAAAGTCTACTTAATTAGTTTGATTCTAATCTTGATCTTATCTACTTCTACCTGACTTTGACGCTCTTGAACTAGCTTTCACCTGCTTTCAACTTCCAAAGTTGCGGCTAGCTTTTCCTTAAAGGAAAGAAGTAGGGTTGATACCCATGATGTTGGCTTAAGTGTCCCGAAATTGGGCCCATGCGTAAATTCAGATATAAAACATTATGGACCGAATTTCTAATAATAGTGATTTGTATTGATGATACAGCGTTCTAAGGTAAATTGAATAAAACGGATGGGCTTAATCTAATGATCCATAGGCCAACAATAGAGCCGTTTCTCCTATTACAAAAAAAAATCCAAGGGATTCAAAGCGTTTTCAGTTAAATGCAGAGGCTTTCCAGATTATAACTAGACCTTCAAAAAACAAAAAAAAAGCCCACTTAAATACAAGTGATTTGGTTACGAGAATATTAACCAACAAACTCTTGAATAACACGTAGAATAATTGCTTCCTGGAAAAAAATTTAAAGTTTTTTGAAAAAAATTGTAATCTAAATAAGTAGTCCTGAAAACTGGTGTAATCACGGCGTCTAACACTATATCATGTTCCAGAATGAACATTACTTCTGTAAGTCCGTAAATCCGCCAGTCCAAGATATAAATACTTGTACAGATTCAAAGAATTGAGATGATTTCTGTAGGTCTGTAATCTTGCAAATTTGTGAAATTTTTCGCCTAGTCCGATAGTAAAGATAATTTTTAAAAGTCCTTTATCTTTAACGTTTTATACAGTCTAAGATCCAATAAAACTTCAAAGCCCCAAGATGAAGATTTTATGTAATTTTTAAGAATTTAAGGATTTAAAATGTTATCAATGTATCAGAATCTCAAAAAAAAAATTAAAGACCACAAGCTCCGAATGGGTTATTTGGTCGAAAGACGTTAAGCCAAACGTGTCATTAAACCGATTTTTTGTATTTGAAGTTTGAAGTTGAAGGGATTAACCCTTGAAATTGTTTTAGAAAATTGTGGTCCTAGAGATCAAATGTGTGAGATCACGAGCTAAGATTTTTCTTTTTAAGATCCAAGAAGATTCTCCAGAATGCTGAGGAAAAATTTGCAGGATTCGGAGACCTTGAAAAATTATTGCGATTTGAGGCTTGGAACAATTTTTAAGATCCCGGATATTGAAAAGAAAAAAAAAGATAAACATTTAATCCCGGATTTGAAGGAATTGATTCTGGAACAAGGAAAGATTTCAAAACTCTACAACTAGGACAAATATTCGAGATTCCAAGCTTTAATTTTCTTATGTTTCTTTTTTATCCCGGAGTTCATCACTTAGAATGACTCCATGACAGTTTAACTAATTTAAGAAAAAAATCAAAGGAATTTTATAAAAGTTCTGAATAATTTAGGAAAGTCCAGACAAAAATCAGGGAAGTAGGGGGTTATCAGAGCCAGTGCTACAAAATCTCGACAATACACGGCGATATTCAAAATTCTGCGTTGGTCACTCATTTGAGCTAACAGTCATCGTCAAGGCAAACCATGTCAATTATCGTGACAATGCTGTCAGTGACGAACATGTGCGTTCAGAGTTTGCCAGTGGCGTCGCGTAACCTCACTTTTTACCTGTTCAACAACTTTGAAAACGTTATTTAGGGTCATGTTTACATTCAAATCAGTTTCAAAAGGCATAGGATCATCTAGTTTCACTGATTTGTATCCATTGAAACCAATATTGTTTTGTTTGTTTACGTTTTGAGAGTTGTTGAACAGGTAGATTGAGGTTAGGGCGACGCCACTGGAGTTTGCTGATCTTCGTAACGAATCGTGTTTCATCTTTTCTACTGCTCACCAACGGTTTAATTCTGCTGCAGTAAAAGCTTTTCTCTTCGTGCACTAATACTTGTGAGCAACGAATGGCCCGTGTTTTTTTTCTGTTTTCTGCTTCTTCTACTGTTATCTGTCATTCGGTGAGTTACCACCTTATGCAATCAAGCAAACGTCACTCACCAACTGTTCATTACTGCACGAAAATTGATTCGGCGAATTTGACAGCACCTTGATTCGCAGCCGAATAATATTCGCAGCAAATGCTTCTGAATGAAGCGTGAGCAGCTGGAACTGCACAGAAAAAAAATAACAAGCAGTAACAGCTTGTTCAGGTAGGGGTTGCTGGTGTAAAATGCACCCGTTAAAGAACTCCAGTTGTTTTCCCATTAAAATTAAAAGCAACAGTGAATATCATGTATGGCATAAATTCTCTTAAGCATTATTTAGTTGTTTATATTCGCATCATACATGACAACTTTGAAAAAAATCCTTTAAAAGTGATTTTAGGAAATGATAAAATAATCTGAAAATACCACTAATCGGGGCAAAATGCACCCATGCTGGGGTAAAATGCACTACAACAAAGAGGCAAGACGCACCATAATAATGAGGCAAAATGCATCTCAACAATCGGGCAAAATGCACTACAATAATGGGGCATTATGACTCTCATTATCATAATCAATAGATGCAGAAGACTGTCTTCGTTTTGGACTGCCTCCAGTTCCGATCGTAGTTGTTCTAAGGTTCATGACCACTTAGTATACTTCAGAACGTTGCGCATAATTTCTGAAGAAAGAATTGAACGTAAACAAGCTTGTTTACTAAAGGATCATTTTCCTCGAACTTAGGAGTGCATTCTGCCCCGGATGTATAAAGAAAATGTTTTTGGTCTTTAAATAGAAATACATATTAAAACTTATCGGTATTTCATCTGAAAGATGTAGCTCTAACCTCAGTCAAATGGGTAAAATCTTTCACCGACGCTTAATAATGTTTGATTCGCTCAAAAACCTTAACAATGCGGAGTACACAATTACACTATATCCAATGCAAACTGGATACGATGTCCAAAGCAAACATACCGTGTTCCAAGAGACACATTTTGTCTGGTGATTTTGTTTTCCACAAGCACTTTTGTCCCAGATCTTGGTCACCTTGCGGTGGTTTCTTCCTGGCTACTGCTCGCATTCACAAGCTCCATCTGGTGGGCCACATCCGAGTGGCACCCAATGAAATGTCGCTTGAAGTTAGCGGCATTGAATTTTGTTTGCTCGTAGCAACAACTTCGTTCTGCATCGATGTTTGCCAAACACCGATATTTGGTGCCAGACGAATCGCGAATCACTTCCACCGCGTCAGAAATTTTTCTTTTCAAAGTTCCAGGCCGACTCACTTTCACTCATGGCTTACACTATTCAATAATATTCACGGCGAATATTAAAACTATTCACGGTGAAGAATATTCACTGTCGTAAATTATCGCGTCCGAATACAACGGATTGAAGAAAGGCAATAATAGAACAAGACAGCACAAACAGCACGAAAATTCATCACTCACCGGTCACTCACAGAGGCTCTCATAGCTGACAGTATTAGGTTCGTTCGTGAACGAAGCCTTAAGCCCGCTACATTGAAAGCGTTCGGAGATGACAAACGCTTTCGAATAGTACGAGGCGAATATCAGTAACCCTGTGTACATTAAATCTAAAACGAAATTGAATGACTTGAGCAAAACAATTACATGGAAACGTTAATGTGAACAAGCATCTACGTCCTGAACTGCTTTGTTAAAAATAATGTGACTCACAATACACGAAATTACACTTTTTGTCTATCGGTTACCATATGAAAAACAATTTTGTCAATATTGCACGATAGTCTGTCAATGACAATGTCAAATCTCAGCGCTGATCAGAGCAATTACGAAATCTTCAGGTATGTTCCAAGAACTTTAGAGAGTATCCGAAACATTCAGAGAGATTTTACAAACTTCAGGTAGCTTCCAGGAACTAAAGAAAAGTTCAGAACTTTGATAAATTCCGAAAACTACAGGGCAGCAAATTCGTGAACTAAGATGAAGAACAGAGAATCTCGCTACAGTTCTATTAACTTCAAGAAAATTTCTAGAACGTTGGAATTGTGGAAACTTTAGGGTAGTTCCGAAAACTCAGGAAAGATTTGAGAACTTAACGTTCAGTTAATAAGATGTTTCTTGGAGAAATTTTCAGAATTAAAAAAAAAAAAAGTTCATATGCTGGTGGAATTCAAAATGCTGGAAGAATCCTAGTTCTTAAGAGAAATCTTCAAGTCTCTACTGCAGTACAAAACCAGGGCTGGTAGCGACCAAAAATAGTGATTTTAGTGACCATATTGAAGAAATAAGTGACCAAATAGTGACTTAGAAGTCAGTGTTGGAAAAATATAAAAAATCAAATCTCACAAAAAATAAACAAGATCACGC